CAGCACATAAAATTCACATTTTCTCTCTATGCAGTTGGAACATAAAATTCTTGAATTTTTCTCCAAGTTTGCTAAAAATACACTGGGAATAAGGCAGGGCAAACTGCTGCAGTAATAATAAATATGGCAAATGCATATTTGCTGCTGTCATTGCACTTTGTAGTTTTCAAGAGCAGCAAACTGGACAAACATGAATGAAAGGATTAAATTACTACTGAGGAATGTTACAGCACACACTACAGTACAGTCTACTCCTCTTGACTTCAGAATGCAAATCCTTCTGGAGACTTGTTTCTGCTTAGTTGCATACATCTTGGATTTTCATTCAACCCAGCCGTGATGGGGCAGGGTATTCTTTCACCTGCTAACAGGATGCAAGAGACTCCATGCATGAGAAACGGGTGGAGCAGAATTCAGGGCAGATAGCAGTTGTTATTACCCAGATCTATGGTAAACTGCAATGATATAATGGTTCAGTGAACTGTAGCAGCACCAAACTCAGACTTTAACATTACCACTAACAAGTATTATTACTGGACTTCCACAATGAGACCATGCATAAATTTTGCTAACAAAACAGCATAGAAACTTACTTGGAGTGAAAATGCTCGTAAAGCAGGAATAGGGATTAAGGCAGCCATAAAGAAAGCAGTAACATTGCTGATAGATGTCAGGGCTACACTGGCTCCTGTTCTCTTCAAACATTCACCTGTTCTGTCCTGCAAAACAAATGACATGTATTAATAGTTGAGTGAATAAGGTCATGTCATGCAAGTGGAGGGGGTAATCCTACAAATCTAACACAGTAACAGTGAAAAATTATTACAATTTTGCTATTTTATTTTTAAAATTTTTAGCATTTATTAAAACTCTGAATACAAGTTTGCATTTGAGAGCATGTAAGAATAAACTATATACCAAGTATACTATTCAGGAGAGAAACAGATGGCACATGAAGTGCTCATGTTTTTTTGAGCGTACAAAACTACCAGAGTTGATATTTATTTCAGAACACAAAACTAAATGGGTACTGACATTGTATCAAATACATCTGTAAATAAGTAGGATGTAATTTTTACTAGTGGAATCACTTGGTGTTCTCATTTTTTTTCTGGCAAAATAAGCATGGAGGCCTAGCATGGACACAAAATGAACAAGAAGAACAACCCTAAGCTCAGGGACCACACACAAAAAACCACACTGAAATCAAGATAAACACATGACCTTTTCCCAACATTAGTTTTAAATGGGTTGTACCTTGGATATGAAACTTTGGACTGAGACTACAAGAACTAATAAGAGGAAAGGATCATAAAAGTGATGACATCTTAGATTTCATAACAGTTAATATGTTACGCTTTGAAATGTCATGGTCAATTATAAGCATCAAAAATAAAAAGAGAAAAGTATATAACATAACTCAATTTTAAGGCCATCGCAAATAAGTAAACATAACTATCTTCTCTTTCTTTATTTTCACCTTAACACTTTTGTGTTCTTCCATTAAAATAATTCTATCATTTAATTGTCAGACCCATATTTGAGTTAGTTCCTAAATTTGCATCAACTTTCACTGGAATTTTGGGCAGAATTTGTGTTATGGAAATTAGCCTCTATATGACACCTTATAAATGCAAGACAAAATAAACCTAGAACAGCATTAAACAAAACAAAACCAAAAAAAATGTGGAAATTTCAAAACATTCTACGACCACATGTATTGCTATAACTTCCTACTTTGACAAAAATAAGAATATCTAGACTCCAGGAAAAGCTATTGAGAAAGAAATTCCTACTAATTAATTCTGGATATAGTTACCCTTTCATATATGAAGCCCTTTGTTTTGTCTTGCCCCCAGATCCCCATTTTGTCCATACCTCAAACGGAATTCTCTTATTCTGTCCTGTTTCGCTAAAGGCATGTGCCAGAAGGAAAACATCATCAACACCAACTCCAAGAGCAAGAAAAGGCAAAACCTTGGGGGGAAACAAAAACAAAACAAAATAAACCCAAGAAGGTTGTTTTATGATCTGCTATGTACCTACTCTTTAAGAGGTTAATTACAGTCACTTTTACATTACACACTACACAAATCCAAAGGTAAAATGAAAATCAAAAGAATGCAATACAGGTATTGACTTTTATTCTGGAATACTGTAGAGGAACTTGCAGTATACCATTTACATGTTCAAAATCTCACCAAAAGTAATTCAAGTTTTGGGTAGACAAGGAATATTTGATAATCATTTGAGTTATATTGAAAGTATTTTCAGAATCTGAGCATTCTGATATATTCAGATGTAAAGACAAAATCTGCAGCTCCTTAACAACTGGATACATCCACTTGTATTGGGACACAGAAAAATCAAACCACCCAGAATTTAGCAATTACAGAGACTACACAATACACACCTTTTTCTTTACTATCACTTGGCAGCATGATCATTTAATTTAACGCAGCATAAATTATGAGATAGGAAAAAGGCACAAGTAGAGATCTAGAGCCAAAGTATTTTTTCAGTTTTTTTCCCCCTCAAAGATTCACTTGTGTTCATTTACTAACAGAGTACTTGTAATTTAACAGCAGACTTGTGTCTTCTAAATACCTGAGTTGTGGCAGCATTAAAGGAAATTCCAATCAATGAGCACAGGCCCAATCCTGCAGCCACAGAGAGTGCAACCAACAAGACTCCTGCCAGCCCCACGGCACCCTGAGACTTGGCACAGTCCCACCGCAGCATCGTTAAACAGGCGTAGGCAAGCTAAAGTGAGGAGCAGGGTGGGGGGAATTCAGGGGAGAAAAACAAAATGTTAGAATGGATCCTTCTCTAAGGGCTGTCTCTCTCCCGACCCAACATACAGATCCTTATGCACATTTTTAAACAGAATAGACACATCACAGATGTTACACACTGGAACAGGTGACAGGCCTGGGGTAAAGTTTACCAACAGTAGTTTTGTTTTCAGATGTGCCTAAAATATTCTGGACTACTGACTGGTAACCATAAATCAGACTTTTAAGCCCTACTCTATTAACCAAGGAAATTAACTGAATTTAACAGATCCTTATGCACATTTTTAAACAGAATAGACACATCACAGATGTTACACACTGGAACAGGTGACAGGCCTGGGGTAAAGTTTACCAACAGTAGTTTTGTTTTCAGATGTGCCTAAAATATTCTGGACTACTGACTGGTAACCATAAATCAGACTTTTAAGCCCTACTCTATTAACCAAGGAAATTAACTGAATTTATTTACATTATATTTAGCCACTAGCTACTCTGATAACACTGACATCAGAAAATGACTTTAGGATGTCATCCAGGGTGGTCGTAGTAAAGGAGAGCACCTTCTGAGTAGAGTTTTGTGCAACACTTTGATGAACCACCTATGGAAAGAAAAAAAACAACTTGGTGTGACTCAAGAAAAAATTCATTACCATCTTCTACAGCACACCTCTGAAGTAACTCCTTTTGCCTTAAGGTTACTGCAAAAGCCCATACCCCAGGCACAGATTACACTGATGCTACACAAGTGTGTTTCATGACTATTTCTTGCAAGCTATTGATTATCAGACAAGAATTTGCATCCTTCAGGAAAGGCTACTGCATTCCCAGCCCAGTACAAACATTTAACTTGAATCCCCTTCCTATAACTCCACCATGGTTGTGCTGCAGTACCAGTTTTGCATTTAACCCCAGGCCAGCAATCTCTTTCCCCCTCCCTCCCTGGCCATTTGCAGAGGTCACATGCAGCACAGTGGAGGTCAGGGCTTGGGATGCAGAGGCCAGGCATTGTCACACAGCCTCCCCACCTGGACTGCTGCTGGGAGAGCAGCTCATGGCTGGCTAATGTTTTCCAGACACCTTTAGAATAACCACGCCAACCAAAAGCTTTTAAATTCCAGCTAACTATTTGGTTTCTTTTCAGCCCCAACAAAGCAAAAATGTCTTAGCAAAGAGCAAAACCTCCATGGCTTCTCATATGAGAATAACCAAGCAGCTTACTGAAAAAAAGCCAAAAACAAAACAACAAAAAATCCCATTAAATCTGGGAGACAATGTCTCAGCTCTGGTTTAAGCATCTTCCTTCAAGAAATACTGCAGAAAGGTGTAGCAGAAGGCAGTGGATCTTAGTAGGACTTTATAGTGTGATATCAAGGTTATTTTCAATTTTACCTCAACATACATCCTCTGCCAGGCTTCCAGAATTGCTGCTGCCTTATCCTCGTTCCAGTTGATATGTGAAACATATTCATACCCCTTGAAGTGCTCATACATTTGCTTAGGAGTCATTAACTGAAACATGGTTTGCAAAGCCTGTGCACTGTGACATGGAGAGAAGAGAGAGGAGGAAGAGGCATAAAATGAGCATTTTCAGGAAAATATTTTCATGGCATGAAGCACCAAGTGAGACCCTAACAGGAGCTTGCATGACCTTCCTGATTTTATAGGGCACATGTGCATATTAAAATTGAACAGAGTATAATTATTCTACTGTGTATCTGGTGCAGCTGTACTGCTCTATGCAAGTGTTGAGGCTAAATCTGGTTTCACTGAAGCTAATGAGAGTTTTGCCATTATTTTCAATGGGATCCGTTTCAGGAGCAAAGAATGCAACCCTATAAATCAGTTTTAAAGATCATGATTGATAGATTACTGTGAAGATGCCACAGGAACAGTTTTTTCCTACGAGATCTTGTAAACACTATTGGCAATTTGTCTTTTGAAGACCTTGGTCTTTTTCATCCCTTGGAGAGAAACACAAGATTTAACTCCTGATGCCTGACAAGCTGTGTGAAGTACACAATGGCACAGGATGCAACGGTATCCAACAGTTTTAGGAGATTAAGGAACATATCTATTTTTCACTGAAAGTACATTATTTGGCTACTTACTGAAAGACTTACTCGTGTTTAATGTAAATGTTAAAAAGGTCAGAATTCATATTAAAAGTTCTCTGTATTAAATATGGAAGAATTATGCTTCCACTAGTTTAGTATGGGCTACATTCTTCAGTTCGACTTCACATGTTTTTCCCCACTGAAGTCCAGTGTTCTTTCAGAAGTCTAAAACAAAGAGGTTTGTTTTCCCACTCAGAGCTGCATTCATGATATCGAGACATAAAAATAGACTTTCCTCTTTTTATTGATCCTGAACAAAAAGTTCAGTGGAGATTCTGGAATTCTGAGAGAAGTCCAGTGTGTGAACACATGACTCAAGTAATTTTTTTCACTTTTTCCTTTGATCATATTTCAAAACGTGATCAAAGGTGTTCAGCGCTTTAAACACCGTTCAATGCTTTACACATACACTCTAAACAACAAAGCTGCCAGTAAAAAGCTTTATTTCTGAGCCACGTACACTATCATCCTGAGGTTACAAGTAGGAAGCAATAACACCTCCTTCAATTTAAACAAGTGCCCTCTTTCAAATTCTGTTCTCTTGAGGCATGTCCTCCTAAACTGAGATTTATAGCACACACGAAGGGCAGTAGATTTTGCATGATCCTCCTGCTGTGTCTCAAAAAATGAACTCTAACTAAGAAAAACTGACATTTTCTTCAAACATTTTTTACCTGACAAGTTTGCCAGAACCGTTCTTGACGGTGCCACCTATAATCAGCTCCTCCTGCCAATGCATGTATTTTCTTGACAGTCCATAGCATCCACCACTCAAAACAAGGGCTACATCAAGAGGCTAGAAAAAATTATAAAGAAGTAATTAATTGGTTTCATAACTTTAGACAAACTCATATGTTAGTTCAGCACCCAGTGAACTAGAATAAATGATAATTAAAGACAATCTAAGCAGTCCACAAAAAGCAGTGTGTCCAACAAATCGAGTCGAACAAATCACCCAGATATTTATTGACCAAACCACAATTTCTCCAAAGCCTAATGCGATTTTTAAAAGGATATACAAATTTGAAGCCCATGACTTCAAACTCTTCACAAAAATCAACAAATATGGTGCTATGTGAAGGAAGGCTTTGCCGTGTGGTGTGAGCGTATAGCAGCAGCTGTATTCCAGCAGTGGCCATTGTCTGTCTGAGGCATCAGGTTTGCTGAAACACAACATCACTGTGTTGCCACAGCCAGAGCGTACCTAACAACTGTACTTTCACTCTAAATACACAGGATTAAGCATTGCGTCACAGAACGAGCCAAAGTCCATGACTGTGAGCACACAGCATGTAACAAGAACAGAAAAATTACATCACTCAAGAATACGTACTATATATCGCTTGGAAGAAAATGGTATTTTCTTCTTTTCTGTCTGACCTTCCCCCTCACCCCCAGCCTCCCTTGAAAAGATATGCACAAGGACAAGCAAACTTACTTTGGTGGAATTTTTATTGGGAGCTGTGATTGGGCAATCAGGATCAGCAGGATTCAGGCAGGGTCGATCCATATAACCATGACCAACCTCCGCTTTATTCAGCATTTCTTCCCAGCTCTCCACTTGGTAGTTTATTTTCTTTAACTCTTCCAAGAATTCTAAGGGGTCAAAGTTGATCCACTGCAAAGGAGGCTTCCCTCTGCAAGAGCAACCAGGAGAAAATGGCACATAGGAAAAATACAAAAGAAGTACTGAAACAAACATATGTTTAAAACTCCTATTTGCACAAATAGCTGTGTTATTTTCTATTACAAGTTAAAACCTTTTTTTGTAAGGCTGTTTCATAAAATGTAAGGCATGTTTTAATTAGATTTGTTTATGTACTTTTCTTGCAGCCCAGTTGTTATTTTAACAAAAATATTCAGTTCTTACAAAGTTATCTTATATAACAGAATATTCACAGGTTTAAAACACTTCCATTTGCAAGCAAGGCAAAACAAATCATCAAGCACCTAAATAACAAAAAAGCAGCCAACTGCTGCTTCAAAGAATTAGGGGGGAGGGGAGAGGGACAGAAGAGAGGGGGCTGAGGAAAGAAAGCCTTTCTCATAGTATCAGATTACTTCTTGCTAGTCTAATAATCATCTTGCAAATGTAATCAATCAATATAACTGATCTTTGTTTATCTATAACAATACTGTGCTCCTTCAAATGCCCTGGCAGCTTGACTATCAGCCATCAAGCTTTCCTGCTACCATGGCTGTCACCACTATCACTGTCACGTCTCCCACCCCCCACTTCTGAATATGTGATGTTGACAGACTAGAAAGGCTTTTGACTGCCTTATTCTGTGGTTCAAACCACACTGTATCTGCTTAACCAGGCTTAAGTCATTATTCCGAATCTCCCAACCAGAAAACACAAACCCCCTTATTTCCCCATCTAAAACTGTACACTAAAGGTTAGGAGATGGCCATTGCAAATTGCTTTTGCAGAGACATGCAAACCAGGACAGAAACAATAACTCAAATGCTAACTCTTGCATAATTAACAGAAAATGCTTGCACAGATTAACAATTAACTCTTTAAAGGATTCAGGGCATATAATATCACACTTGTAAACTGTGAGAAACCACCCATAAAAGATACTATATGGTTTCTTTCATGATCTCATAAGCAAAGGATTTGTTCTTTATTCTTCAGGAAGACTTGAGTTTTTAAACCAAGACATTTTCTTAGGACTAAAATTCACAGCCAGTCAATGTTTTTGTATTTTATGAGGGGAAATAAACCAACCCACCAGAAACACGTTTATTTCAGGGGGGAAAAAAAAAGAGGCAAAGCATAACATTCTTAAAACTTCAACTCAGAACTTGCATTTTATTTTGCATGCTACCAGTAAAAAAAAAAAGCAGAGGATTTAAATTGAGGCTTACAAATCATCTCTTAGAAACAGGAAAATCTTTGTTAAATGGAAATAATATCCATGCGTATTTTCTGTAGAGACACTGCAGTTTATATTTTATTTTTCTGTTAAATCAGAACTGAATTAACAATGGGAATGCAACTGAAAAGTCATACACAGTTATGCAAGTAAACACAGTCAGACCAGAAAAGTATAAAAAAACATGCTTACAAAAGATAGGCAGTTCCTGACTGTAGCTTTGCTCCCTCCCAGAAGCAGTCCAAAGGAGTGATAATTAAGCAAGGATAAAGATATTCTATAATCTGTCAAAATCAGAAAGGGGAAAAACATAGTCACACTAGAATACAGTCAAAGCAACACAAGCAGAATCAGGAGAATATACAGATCCTAGAGCTAAATGCCTGCTACACATACCTGGTCCATGTAACCTGCTTCTGTGATGAGTTCTCCTGATTTGTAACACAAATGTTCCAATTTCCATTGTCTGTAAGAAATATTAAGGACATATATTTTCTTCCTGCACATTTACTGAGAAGTTATTTGAAAAACGCAACAGACATTTAAAATTGCAATTCACATATTGGCCTGAAGCAGCAAATCACTGAGTAAGGCAAATACAATAAAAATAGATATGCTATACCTCACAAAAAAAGCAAAGGCCTTTCTTTTTTGTAGTTACTGAGTAGACATTTGTTTTAGTTATTCTCACATTCTCTGTAAAACTCACTAAAACAAGGGAGGTGCTTGTGGATGTACAGACTAGTCAACATGTTAGAGGCACAAAAATCTACCTCTGTATAAATGACCACTGGTGACTTAAGTCATCACTCAGTGACACAAGCAAGAAAAAAGCCAACTCCAGTTCAGAGGACTAGAATATACCTAACTGACCCACACGTGCAGAAGAGAAGAAACCATCAAGATTTCTGCCTTCCTTTTTCAGCTGTATTACAATTTCCACTGCCATGACTTCTAATGACTTAAACAAGGCAGGAGCTGGGTAAAAGATAATTGGAGCCTCAGCATTAGCTCATGGAGGCATCAGCTGGGTGTGCTGAAAAGAACTGCTGAAAACCAGCTTTGTGCCTTGCAGGCAGAACCCCAAGGCACATCATTGTGTAAGTAGTAACCCTTTTATTCATGGATTTTCAAGGAGACATCCTAGCCCAACGCTGGTACCTTCCTAAGGTGCATGGTTATTATTTTTCTGTTGGACAACACACAACTCCCAACCTTCAGCACGCACACACACACACTCTTGAAGGCCAAGTCTGTTGTCTATATTAATGCACCCACTGCCATTTCTCACACCCCTGCAATTCTTTACATTCTAACTACTGGAAGGACAGTAACCTGTGTTCACAGTTACTATATACCTCACAATGGTACAAGCAAGTGAATTCAACTCTAATATGGAGAATTTTCAATGTTAAGAATCACATCCATAAGGTCCTATGTTTAAAAGCATAGACACCATTCCTTTACCAAAATAAATGCTGCATGCCGTGCCATGGTTCACAGGGGTACTCTCTCAGTATCTCTTCCAACACCACTTGTTAAATGCCAACTTATCACTGCTATAATGCCACAATGTCAAGTATCAGAAACCAGTGACATTCAAATCAAAACACAGTCCTAAGGGAAAGGCTCAGAAGGCTAACCATTTAAGAACATGTAGAGGAAAGCACATGTCCACTTTCTAGCTGACACAGATGATGAAGAAAACTTTTGATTTTCTCCTTACCTGTTGTACATATAGACATGTACTCTGCTGGCCTGAAGTGCAGAGTCAAGGTGCTGTCGTAGTGCTTCTGTTGTTAGTACATTAGCACCATCTTCCTGTGGAGTCTGGATCATGAGCTGGGGGTTGAACATGGCCTCTTCTCCAATCTTCTGCCGTGTGTAATTTAACTCCTGACTCACTCGTCCACCAACTGATAGATAAATATTAAGAGCTTGTATTAGCCAGTAACTGCTTATTCTGCATGAGTGCTCTCCAATCAGAAAAAACTGACCCTGTGCACAAACTCTTCTGTCTCAAACCAAACACAGTATAACTCTAAAACTAGTAACAACTTTTAGCAATTGAAACAAAACCCACATTCCTCATTAAAATACCTTTGCTGCTACTGCACTAAAACACTGACGCGTAAACTGGAGCCTCACACAGTTTTTTTCTACATTATGACCAATATCCCATATGTAAAATTAAAGAAGAGAATGAAAAAAAGAAAAACCTTTTCCTTGCAGACCAGACCAAATACTATGTTACAATTTCTTACACTTGTATAAACAGTCTGCTCCAATTGCACATTTCAAGATAAATGGCTTTAATTTACACTCTTCTACTAAATAATTTGGCAAAAGTAGACCATGAATGTTTCTCTTTGGTTAAAAAAAGGGAGGAGGGAAAGTGAGCAGTAGTATTTCTTTCAGCCTTAAGTAAAAGAGAAAAAATACCAAACTCACATAAAGACATGCAGTTTCGAGTATAGAAAAATGCCTGTCTATAGTTAATTTACCCCAGTGACCCAGTACCTGGCTTAACACGCTTTGATGCAGGAGATTGTTCACATGCAACATGTGTTTCTAAACCCACATGAGCTGAACAGTGTGCTCCACATATTAAAACATGGTAGGGGAAAAAAGAAAAACAGGGAGAGGGACACTGCAGAGTCAATAGGCTCTAGAGGGAGCCATACTCAATTTGCCTTGCCAGAAAACAATATGTAACAATGGAAAATTATCTTCCCTTCTACAAAAAAGCACACAGCTAGAGTTTATATACTCTATATAACCTTCCCTGTAAGTCTCTCTAGCAAACGTATGTGGGAGGTACTGTCAATTCAGCCCACTGGTTGAATCAAGACCACACCCAGATGAGGAGGACACGAATATAAGTCCAAGCTACAGATCTGGTCTAACGTGTTACATTTTTCTCAGTCCTAGTAAGCTTGACACTGGTGATCTGAATTACTGCCAAAGCAACAGTGTGAACAGAAATTAGGCAAATACAGCTACCTCTTCCTAGGCTGTATAACAGATCTGTAGCCAGTTGGCAGTGCGGGAGATGAGATTCCCAAGCCCAATGAGGGACATACTTTTTCAATCACTTGGGCCCTCAACCCACCCGTAACACCCCTGGGGCTAAAAGGACCACCAGTCAAGAGGCTGGGCCCCTGCATTCATAAAGCTGTCAGAATGAGACCCTCAACAATTAAACCATACAGACATTCTGGCACGAAGCATTGCTTAATTTCTTGTTCAACAATTCTTTGAAGAAATAAGTGTTTCCACAACATGCTCCATTTTTTTCAGACCATCACATGTGGCATTACCTCCTTCATACCACGTAACAAATACCAGCACACAGTAAACAAAACAAACAAACAAAAAACAAAGTACAACTTCCTTACCTAGAGTTCCTCTAGAATTTAACATCACTCTTACTACAGTGACAAGACATACAATCATTGTGACTGCATAAGCATGGTAACGAAAAGCTATTGTTAATTCTTAACAAGATTTAAACCCTAAGATTACTTCCATACAACAGGCTCATGCTCATGCTCTCTGTTGTCTTTCTCCACCAGCCAGTAGTCCTTAGTATGCTAATACATTTTGCTTCATCTTACAGGAATATGGGGAAAAGGGAGCAGAGTTATCCTAATCTGTATGCCTTGGAACCAGAGCTTTGGTTTTCGGTTAATTTGCAATCCTTTACACTGCTAGTGCATCAAAGACAAAATTACTCTCTCCCACTTTTGTGCCTCAATGCTAGCAAAGGCAATAAAGCCCCAATGTTATGAGGACTGCGGAGTCTACCATAAACTTCTACTATATTCTCTCCCATTCCACCCACACTTTCCTTTGGAATTTAACCAGGACTTGAACCAACAAATCATACTTCACTCAAGACAAAGGGCATCATTCCTATCTCTGCTGAAACTGACCAACTGTTTACTATCAACAGAAATGATCACTTCCTAATCAAGGTTCTGTCAAACCATGTTAACTTCACTGAACAAAGCAGATCCAGCTAATCAAAATTGCATCACATAAGTCAGTCATCAGAACAGAAGCTGGTTTTGCCCCACCTAACATTTGAAACAGGAACAGCAAAACCACCCAAGAAGGCAGACATACCTTCCAGAACGCAGCAGCAGATCTGCTCCACATTCTTCTTAAGGCATTACACCATTTAATTATTTCTTTGATGGGTCTGTTACGTACATTTCTTCAGCCAAACAGAGTAAAGACAACACCAGAGGCAAAGTTGATACTTGACACAATGTAGCAGTCAAGTACAAAGAAACCATAAATGTGGATTGACAGAATTTTCCTCTGAAAAGCCAAACTATGCAAAAACATATGGACAGACCAGAAGCAAGTGGATGTATCAGTGGCCTTTCAACGTATCAGAAGCAGAACACAGCAAAAGGGAAGGCAACAAAAAATTAAACTGGCAAGTTTTTACCAGTTATATTTTAATTATTTCCATGGAAAGTCTGCAAAGATCACTAGAGGCTGCCACACTCTTAAACCTACACCATCAGCACAATCAGTTGAATATGCAGTTTTTAAAAATCAAGCCTCTTGTTGTTTTAGGTTTTTTTCCCCCAGATTATCCATATGTGGTGCAAAAACCTGGGAGAGAAACCACTAAAAATGTCACTGACATTTTTCAATGTACCCGAAGCCTCTGGTCTCACTGTGCTGAAGCTACACAATACTAGACTCAAGACACAAACACTGCAGAAAGTCATTCCTCACACTTGTAAGAAAAAACCCCATGCACTACATTCATAATACGATTTCCACACTATAGGGCAAGTGATGTAATGGAAAACATGAACAGTGAACAAAACGCTGGTGTTCAGTGGCTTTCCTTTACGGACTCATGTTTTCTTCTACTGGGTGACAACATTTTACATTCAAAATGCTACTGACTGAAATTGTATGTATGGCAATAGTACAAACACCTTTTATTCTGCATCAAAGACAGACAGAACTATCTCACTTTAATATTCTGATGACAAAATCCACAAGTCACTCTCCTTTTTTGATCTACCAAAAGCCACTTAATGGTATTTGAGTCCTTTACTACATGATTCCTTACGATTCAGTGCCTAAATGACTGAATTGGTAGCACAAACTCCCACAAGCCCAAAATGCTGATTTAATTAACGGGTCAATACCTGTCTCATGGCTGGTGGTAACACAGTGCAACAGTTTGTACACTATCTTCCAGCACTGTCATCAGATGCTGAGTGTCTGCCTGCTAAAAATGAGAAACCATGCCATCTGTACAATTTAGCTAACTTATTTATTAAAAGAGGAAGAAAAATCACAACAAAGCAGTAATACCAGTGTCCTGGCAGTATTTCTCACTTCGTGTATTGGTTTCTAATTCTCAAGAATGTGTCTGAAGGACAGCATTCAACATGAGACAGTTTCACTGACAGCATCTCTGTTGATGAGTATTAGCCCTTGTTAAAAAGCTCTTTTTTCCAGGCAAGAGGAAAGTGTCTTCCTCCTCCCCACCCTCTCTGATATCCATAGGCTTCCCTCTTAGCTCTTCGCCAGAACACTTGAGATCTGCCCTGAGCAAGCCATCATTCCATTCCATGAAACACATCACTGCTCCTCCTGAACGTCCCCTCCAAGCTGGTCAAGGTACTAAATTCTGTGTCCTTCTTAACGGCCTGAAGACAGCAGCCATTGTCAGTGTGGACGCCAGGTAAGAACTATATAAGGACCACTGTGTCTCCCTCCCCCAAGAGCAATGAACAGCTGTCAGGTGCTAACAAGTTTTAGTCATCCTTAAGTTGAGACAGACCCAAACCCATGACCTATAGGTGAAAGGCTCTAGATCCCATTACTCAGCACTGGGGTCACAGTCTCAGTGTTTCAGTCATCACACATTAAAATGCTTCAGTGCATCTTAAGTGAGAAGCACCCAGAAAAAACAAAACTGCTTGCCTCTAGTGTACATTTGCACAACACTGGTGCACTATCCAACGATGTAAGAATGAAATTGTATTTGTTTTCACTGGCACAATTTTTGACACATTTCTTTACTGTCCACTAACTTACCAACAATTTCAAAGTTACTGGGACATTTAGCTCATGCGCTCATTTGCATTGCAAATGTCAGTCGTACCCACACCTTTCTCACAACTAGCATTCAAAATTTACATGGAATTACATTGACATGCTTATAAAGAAGTCTGGAAACCACCACCAGGCACTGCAGTCACTGGGCACTGCAGTCTCTTCCATAGTAAGTAGCTTTAGGAATAAGTTTGACATCTGTCACATTTTAGAGATCAATCCTAAATCAAGCAATGAGTGATAGCCAAAAGTCACTGCTTGTTAATTTACTGTCCAGTGGCTCTAAAGGCATGAAACACTTATTTTTCTGAGTATCTTACAATGTTCCATTTCAGGTTACTGGAACTGCATCACACAGCCTGAGGTTTTTTTATTTTTCTTGGACATGAACACTACCTCTATTAACCATTCAATAGTTACCTTGTGCACAACCGTGCAACCAGTAGCTCAGTAGAGAGCAAACTCTCACAAAAAAGAACATTCCTGAGAGCCAAACATTTGGGATTAAAATGTTTGTCTACCAATGTGGAGGACAGACTCTGAGAAACCAAAGCCAAGGTATTCAGAAATACCTACTGATTTTGGAGCCTAAGTTTTTCTGGGAGAAGCTTGAGGTGCATGAACAGCAAAAAATACTCTGGAGAACCTCCCTTCTGAAGACTAAGGACCTCAGGGTGTTTCCACTTGAGCATCTGAGGGGCAGACACACTTCTGCTTTGTTTGAGCAACATCACCTTTTTAAGTTTTTCAAGACTGTAGATTTGCCGCATTAGAGCAATCCAGCTCAACCTTTTGGCAGTGATAAAGCAATAAAATCATTCCTCTAG